TTCTATTATTTTGTATTTTAAACACTTACAGTATAAATAAGTATATCTCGTATATAGTAAAACGCTCCCCAAAGTTAGGAAAAGCTTTTTCCGCCCTCTAGGTTTTCTCGACCAAAAGGGTGCTTTTCGGCGGTCGTTCCTCCTCCTCCGGTGGTCGGATTTCCTTGGTGGCAACACCAATCGATTCGTCTCACCGGCGCGCTCACATTGAGGGTGATTTTGTGGGGTTCTGTCTTCGGGTAAGGGAGTTTCGTTTTTTGTCTTCTCTTTTCGGTTTAAGGTTTTTTACGGAATCTCGAGGGTGCTTGTGTGTGTGATCGTTTCTTGTTCGTGGATCAACCGGATCTGCGATTTGACGAGGATTGGCTACGTTTTGGTGGCCGCGTTGTGGTGTTTGGAGGTTTTTATGTCGGAGATTGGTTGAACGTTCGGTGACGGCCATTGTTTCCGACCGGTGTGTTGACGGCCGCCGTCAAGGATCCGGCGGATCTTGACGGCTAGGGTTTCTCCAAACCCTTGACGGCTAGGGTTTTGGAGGAGGTGACGGCTAGAGTTTCAGCGGCGTGGGCGGCTAGGGTGCTTGGTGGGCCGGGGCTAGGGTTTCCGGCAGATCCCGGGCGGCTAGGGTGTCCGGCCGGTGTAGGGGGCTAGGGTTCTTGTGGCGGCTAGGGTTTACTGGCCGGTGTTGGGGGATCTCTACCGATGTGGGCGGCTAGGGTTTTTGGTGGGCCGTTGGGGCTAGGGTTTGGGTAAGGAGGCATAAGGGGTTAGGCAGGGCCTCAATGGCTAGGAAGAAGACCACGGCTGCGGCCAGGAAAGGGAAGGCTGGGGACGGCAAGGGTGCCGGTGAGGTGCCGGCTGCGGTCGGGAAAGGGAAGGGCGTGGCCGGTAAGGGTGATGACGTGGTGCCGGCCCCCCCGTTGAATCGCCACTGGAAAATCCGAAAGAGACGAAGACGACGGATCCCATCCCACATGCCGAAACATCAAAGGCATGTGAGAATAGGGGATCTACAATTGGACAACACTCCGGCGAAGGTGAACGGGTCAATTGGGCTCAATTCTTCAAAGGACGGCCACCACCACCGGCGGATCTGGCACTGGACTCGGTGAAAGGATTGGACGACACAAACGTCCTCCAATTTGAAGAAGAAGACGAGACTGATTGGGGGACGAAGGGCGTGTTTTTGGCCGTTGCTTATTTTCCGGGGAAATTTCCTGTTGTTGAGGCCATACGCGCGATCAAGGCTCAGTGGGAGGTCCCGGTGAAGTTTCAGATCCATCATACGGGGTGGATCGTGTTCAAATTCACAACGGACCAAGATCGAATGAAGGTGGTGGAGATGGGGAAGTTTGAGCATGGTCTAGCGACGCTCTACATTCGCACCATGCCGGAGTTTTTCAACTTCGACATCAACGACATGATGTTTGTACCGGTTTGGGTGATCATCCGCAACATCTCTGCGGAACTCTACAACAAAAAGGCGTTAAGTAAGATTGCTCAGAAGATAGGCAAACCGGTCCAAATGGATCAAGTTACGAGTGAGATGTGGAGGTTAGGGTTTGCACGGCTCCAAGTGGAAGTGGATGCGTCCAAACCGTTACGACGATCGCTCACATTGATCAATGCGAAAAGTAAGAGCTATGAGGTCCCAATCGAATATAGCTATGAACCGATGTTTTGCTCGAAATGCCAAACCCTTATGCACAAGACGGACCAATGTAGAGCAGAGGCGGTGCTGAAGCGTGGACGTAACCGTAAGCCCAAACCGGTGGTGAGTGTTGCACAAGATCCACCGGTGACCACGGTATGGGCCGGTAAAAGAACGGTGCTCGCAGAGGATCCGAAGCTTGAAAAGGAGGTGGAGGCCGTGGATGCTGATGATGGAGCTTCGGAGGATGGATCGACCGAGTGCTATGCAGTGGATGACGACGACCGGGGGTCCTTGGTGGAGTTTAATGCCCTACACTCCCCAAAATCCCCGAGTACAGCCCCCAAGACGAGATTCACAACCAAAAAGAAGCATCTTCCACCGGATGCAATCATGTTGCCCAAAGAAAGGTGAATCAAGTTCGGTGGTGGAAATTGAGTCGAAGTTTGTTCGAGATGAGCGTGTTGATGCTGAGC